AAGAGTGAAACTCCGTCTCAAAAAAAAAAAAAAAAGATCATTTTGAATCTTGTGTGTGTCTTCTATCAGCTAACTCTACCCTCCAGGAAAGTGTCATCTGCAAATCTGAGAAACATTTCAAGCTAGTAACAGAAATGTGGACAGCTACAGACTGACAGAGCCACTAACTAAATGCCTCTGGGTAGGTGAATCAAACAATGCTCTCATACCACTCCTAGTCTACCCTCTGGCTCTGGTGAATCATACATATGGTTCATATGTATGAAGAATACCCAGCTGCCTTCATAATAAGAGAAATGCAAATTAAAACTACTTGATATATTATCACAGTATTTTTTTCTTTTTTTTTGAGACAGGGTCTCACTCTGTTGCCCAGGCTAGAGGGCAATGGCATGAACACAGCTCACTGCAGCTTCAACCTCCTGGGCTCAAGCAATCCTCTTGCCTCAGCTTCCCATGTAACTGAGTCATTCACCACCATGACAAGCTAATATATATATTTTATAGAGAGAGGGCCTCACTTCGTTGCCTAAGCTGGTCTCAAACTCCTGGGCTGAAGCAATCCTCCAGCCTCAGACTTCCAAAGTGCTGGGATTACAGGCGTGAGCCACCACGCCTGGCCAAACTCACAATACTCTCGATGCCATTCATAGTATACTCCTTAGTCCACCAAACTTCTCAACAAGTTCGAAAAGCCTCCTTTGCCAACTGGGGTTTGGTCTGGTTTTTCTAAAGATGTACTGAAATAACTACTTTCAAGTAAGAGTTGTCCCTAAAGCACATCAAACTATCTATGATCACAATGCTACCATTGTTCAAAATATTCTTAAAACTTCTTTTGGAATTGTTTTTAGAGGCAACATCTCTTTATTTTGAATATCCTCAGTAGCACCAAATCTTTGTCTTTTGAAAGTCAATTTATTTTTCAGAAATAGTATTTGTATCATCTCCACTGAAAAGAGTGAGTGAATAAACTGAGTAAAACTCATGGAGAACAATTATTTTTAAAAACCGTCTCTTGTGCAGGTCCTACATGCTTCCACAGCCAGTCGAAAAGAGGCTTCCAGAAATCTTTGAACAAGAAAAGCATATATGAACTACCTACAAAGGATACTATTTAGATGTAGAAAAACTTGGATGCTTATAGAAAAACCAGTTCTGCTACGTTTCAGTTCTGTGTCTGGGTGTTATACCTATTCTATATTATTATCAGGCTAGCACTGGCTAGTAGAAGCTACAGAGATTGATAAAATAAGATCCCATCTGCCCTCCAAGAAATATAAAAAATAGATAGAGCCTTTAATTCTACTTTGAAGGCCGGGCGCGGTGGCTCAAGCCTGTAATCCCAGCACTTTGGGAGGCCGAGGCGGGTGGATCACGAGGTCAAGAGATCGAGACCATCCTGGTCAACATGGTGAAACCCCGTCTCTACTAAAAATACAAAACATTAGCTGGGCATGGTGGCGCATGCCTGTAATCCCAGCTACTCAGGAGGCTGAGGCAGGAGAATTGCCTGAACCCAGGAAGCGGAGGTTGCGGTGAGCCGAGATCGCGCCATTGCACTCCAGCCTGGGTAACGAGAGCGAAACTCCGTCAAAAAAAAAAAAAAAAAAAAAAAAAAAAATTCTACTTTGAGGGGTCAGGGAAGATTTTATAGAGGACGAAGTATGAAAGATGAATAAGAGTTTAAAAGGCAAACAAGAGAAGAAGGACATGCCAGAGGGCATACCTGTGCAAGGCCCCAGAGGCTTGTGGAGCATGACGTCTTTGAGAATCTGCATTTTCATGGCTCTGATGTGGAATTCCTTAAGGATTAGCAGGGAGTGGCTAAAAGAATCCTGGAGTCTCTTCTAAGGAACCTTAGTTTCAATGGGTAACCACTGAAAGCATTTAAGCAACAGTGACATAAATGGCTGCACATTTTAACAGGATCATCTGAGTGACAGCAAGGAAAATAAACTGGAGAGAAGGACAAAGGCAGTAGTTAAGAAGGGTGAGTTACCAGAAGTAGAAGCAATAGAACGCTACAGCAATATTCCAGAAAGGAAATAATAAAGCCTTGAATTCAGGCAATGGCAGCAGGGATAAAGAAAAGGGGTGCCACTGGAAACAGATTTGAGGTAGAAAAGACAGAACCTATTGACCACATAGACAGGGGATTGGGGAAAGGGTTGCTGATGACTCCAAGGTCTCCCTCAAGTCTGGATAACGAGTGGGTGGTGGTGGTGGGGTCAACCAAGATCTAGAACACAAGGGAAATGAAAAGAAAAGATCAAGGGGGAGGTGGAAACGATGAGTTGTGCTTTGAACATGCTAAATTTGAGGGAGTCGGAGGATGTGTCCACTACAGGCCTGGCATTCAGACATGGGGTCTGGGACATAGAGAGAGACATTGACAGAACCCGAGGCCATAGTAATAACAACAAGTATTTATTAAATACTGTGTACATACAAGGTACTGCGCTAAATACATTTCTTTACTCTCATTTAATTTGTATATAACAATCCGCAAAATAGATATTGCGATGTCTATTTTAAGGATCTGACCACAGTGGCCAGAAAAGTCAAATCATTTGCCCACGATCACAAAGATAACAAGAGCTAGGCTTGTCAACTATTAAGTTCACGGATCCAGGTGCTTTTTTTAAAAGCAAGAGATGTCTAGAGAAAGCCTGAATTAAGCAGGCCCCTGGGACTGCCTTTTTATCAGCATGCTCCCCAGCTCCATGTGGCACTGCTCTTCTTCCTGGATACAAGCCCTTCTAGGGGAGTCACACACAGTCTACAGGTGGGCCCCACAGTCTTGCTTTGCAGAAGGAAAGGAAGAAAGAACACAGAAATTTAAATGGTCATACCATCACCCTCATCTTCCTCCTAAGATCTCCACTTCCCTCACCCATCTCCACTTAAGAGCCTAACTAGGATACTAGGGAGATGGCCAGGGGTACTCAGAAACACCTGATAAAGCGTATCTTTCCAACTATTTTATTTGAAGATGCTAGGAAACTATGTTGAAAACAACAACAAATATTAAAGCTAACAGAGTTTATCTGGGCCAAAAGAAAACTAGGCTCACATGAAAGAATGGACTGGAGTCTTTGAAGAAACTTCTTGCTACAGGCTGCATCAAGTTGGATCCATCTCCCACGTCCTTAAAGCCACTTCAGTCTGAAACTTTGAGAAGCACTAAAATGATCAACTTAGAAAGCATTGTGCTTAGCAGTGGAAAATGTGATACTCTCCCCTGTTTACCTAGAAGGAAATTATTTAAATCATCACAGCAAGAAAACCTCTGGGGAAACTAGCTGCAAGTCGGAACTATCTGAGATTACAGTTGCAGTTTATTCTAAACGTGTCCAAAATCACCAGAACATTAACGAGATAACCTCCATTAGGACTTTTCTTAACTGGGGGGAAAAAGTATCTTCCCTAAGGTCAGTGATTAACTACATTTTCTTCACAAAGGGTATATTCGGGGATGTGTATAAATCAGGCTGGGACATATAACAGCTGGAAGGAGATCTTTTATTCTACTTTATTTAGACCCCTATCCAAACACCTGCTATCCACAAAAAGATGGGTCACAGTGATGATCAAAAATAACATTTATATATAACATTTTTCATTGACATATCACATTTCACAAATAATTATTCATCTAACCCTCAGACAACTGATAAGGCCGGTAAAATTATTATCCTACATTATAGTCATAGAATGTACTCGTGAATTGTGGAGTAGATTTTTAGTAGAGTAGAATTTTAGAGCAGAATTTGAGAGCGAGGTCTTGGCTCCTCATTTAACAGACTGAGCCCCAGGGATGTTAAATAACCCTTCCAAGTTCACATCGCTGGACCACAGTGCTGGGCCTGTACCCAGGTCTCTTGGCTCTTCCCACTACAGTGTACTGGCTGTCCCTAGATCACCTGAAGGTACCTCAAATAGAGGCATGGGCGAGACTCTGGGGCCTGAGAGACCTGGCCTGGATTGCCAGCTCTACCACCTAGTGGTCAAATGACCTAGGGCAAATTGCTTCATCTCTCCAGTCTTCAACTTCCTTGCCTCTAAACAGTTAATAGTAATAAACCACCCTCCAGAGTTGTGAGCATTCAGTGGGATTACATGTATAAACCATTTGCTCATGGTAAGGAGCTGGAGTTCCTGGAAAACAGAAAAAGGCAACATCACAGCTGAGGTGGCTATCTGAGCTAATGACTCCAATCCCCAGTCCATCGCTTCTAGCTTCTGCTGTCAGGGTGCTTTTTCTCTGCATGAGCAGTTTATTTCTAAACCAGTGTCATAAATTAGTTCATTTTGCAGTTCTTGAGCTTCAAATTTTTATTCAACATCTTTTATGAGAATGACTCCAAGAAATGCCAAAACAACAATACACTTCTATAAATCCTGCTTATATGCCAGACACAGCTCTAAACACTTCAAATGTACTTAATCCTCACAGAAACTCTGTAGGATAGTTCAAAGGTAATTGAGTTAATTAAATCCAACATATTTTTTGTTGTGGTTTTTTTTTTTTCTTGAGACTGAGTCTCACTCTGTTACCCAGGATGGAGTACAATGATGTGATCTTGGCTCACTGCAACCACCGCCTCCCAGGTTCAAGCGATTCTCCTGCCTCAGCCTCCCAAGTAGCTGGGACACCACCATGCCTGGCTAATTTTTGTATTTTTAGTAAACGATGGGGTTTCACCATGTAAGCCAGGCTGGTCTCAAACTCCTAACTTCAGGTGATCCACCCGCCGTGGCCTGCCAAAGTGCTGGGATTACAGGTTTGAGCCACCATGCCCAGTCAAACCTGATGTTTTAAAAAGATGTATTTAGATTGACAATGATACTAGTTCTTTGTATATATCTGGCTGCAAAGAAACACTTGGAGGTTTTAGACTGATTTAAATTAAGAGACCAAATGGCGTCCATTCAAATTCAATTTGAGGCAATCTTTCAGTATTTCTGATTCTGCTGCCTGCTAAAAACATCCTTTTCCCTCAGTGGGTCAAACTATGTAGTACTGACTTATTTTAAGAGCTTTACTATGAAAAATTTCAAACCTATATAAAAGCTGAGAATAATATAACATATGCCCATGTACCCATCACCCAGCTTCAACAAACCATCACTTTTTAATAGATTTTTCCTTACCCTTCCCCATACTCCTTAGTGGAGACTTTTTTTTTTCTTAACAAATGCTATGAACAGACAAAACATTATGAGAAACCTGATACTGAACGTCCTTCATGTCACACTCTGCTACAAAATGATTCCATCTTCTCTTTCCACAATTTCTAGACCTTTTATTCTAAGTCTGTTCCCCAGCATAAGACTTCATCCTACCCGTTTTCATGTTTCTGGCTGGTCTTTGAACGTGGCAAAATCCAAATGGAGAAAGTGTCTGTGGGGCTTCAGACATCCAAATGACAGTGAGAGGAATAATAAATTCATCAGAGAGGGTTGGGGTGAAATAAATTTAAGAGGCACTCCAATACAAATCTTCTTATCAGAAGGGGAAACTGAAGCACATGCTCTGAGCTGTACAAGGTCCAGAGGGGAATCACTTAAATCAAGAAATAAAGACAGGATGTGTGGAAAGTAAGCTTCTACTATCTGTATTTCTCTCCACTGATTTCCACAATCTCTACCCATTCCTACTACATCTGTGAGGGCCAGAATCATCTTCCCAGAACCCCCCTACCTCCCCTCCCCCCGCCACGCCGGGGGCAGCATTAACCTGTCTCACAGCATTGTATGACACCAGCAGATTTTTAAATCCTTAAGGGCAAAATCAAGCCTCAGTCTCCTCCGACCAAAGCTTAATAAGGTACCTGATTGATACTCGGTGGTCACTCAAATATTTACCGATGCGGAACAGAGCTTCCTTTCCCAGCAATCAGAACCCTAAACCTATCAGGCTTCCTATTTTTCTCCCTCTCTCTACAAGCTCCGGCAGCCCCATTTCTTCGGAGGATATAGTATAAAGAACACAGAATGGGAAATCAGAAAGACTCAGTTTGTGTCTTGGCTGCTACCCTGGTTTGTGCGGCCTTGGACACATCGCCTCTTTCCGGGGACTCCACGTCCACATCTATAAAATGGGCAAGTTTTAGGAAGCCTTTGTGGATCCTCCCTCCTCTCCCGCGCCGCCCTCTCTAGGCAGCGCCACGCTGGGCCTCAGCTTCTCCCCCAGTCTCCACGACCCTCATTGGGTCCGCTCCACTTCCCGAGCTCCTCACACTCCAGGGCACTGCGTCCTTACCTCCTACTCCCAGGTTGACCTTGCGGGGGTCCGGATCCTCCCGGAAATCGGCAGTGAGCTTGAAGACCAAGACAGGCTGTGCCTGCGGAACCTCGGCAAAGACTGATGGAGACGCCATATCGAGAGAGCAGGAATAGAGACGCTTCACCGCGACTCCAGAGATGCCAGGTCAGGTCTGGCGTCTGCGACTGGAGGAGACTCTCACCTTCACCTAGCCGGCGGGGGCGGGCCCGCGGCCTCCAATGGTCGAGCCGCGTCCAGAGCTTGGCAACGCGATTAACCAACCGTCAGGTTCTGACGAACAAGAAACAGGAGGGTGGGAAAGCTATTAGCCAATCCAAGGAAACAATCTTATCGGCGGTCGTGAAAGATGCAACCAATGCAATTTACGCCGGCTGCAGCGTGGGCGGGGACTATGGTTGATTGGCAGAGCGTTCTCCTATCGCAGAGGCTATTACTCCTTGGGTCTCCCGACTGAGGGGAGGAGCCGAACGAGCCGGGGTAGTCACCGAGAGGCCGCTTCTTTGACCTTCGAGGGTCCGGAGGATTCGGGGATGTGGCCGGAGGCAGTTCCCGAGGACAGGTCTTCGTGTTCCGGCCGAGCAGATGTTGACGCTGCCAGGCTCGACCTGGCGGCCCCGGGCTGGCAGCCAAATCCCCAGCGTCTGTGCTCGGGACGCTAGTGTTCGGCCGGGACGTGCAGCTCCGGAGCCCGCGCTGGCGACCTTGACCACCTGGTCGGCTGTTTCCCCCTGAGGGAAATGTGGCTGTGCTGCCAGCCTTGGTGTCTGGCAGGGAAGGTCCTGCCAACAGGGAAGGGTGCCCACGAGTTTCTTTCTGCCGCTCTTCTATTAATAGTTTGAGATTTTCCTTCCCGGTTCCTTACAGAGAGGCCTGGTCCTTAAGGACCTTCGGGATTTGGGCGTGGCGTCCCTTCCCAGCTTCCTCCTGCTCGCACCGGACCCGATCTTGCTGTGGACAGCTGGCTGGTACCCAAAGTGCCTCTTCGTCAGGCTGTTCCTTCCCCGTAAGAGTCCTTCCTCCCCAGAACCCTTCTCCATCTGTTGACCTTCAAGATCCAGAGTGAATGCCACTTCATCCATGAAGCCTTCCCTTAACCCTTATTCTGTCAAAATATCTCTTTCCTGTGCTTCTAACATTTTAACAATGTTAGAAAATGCCTTTGTGGTTAAGAACCTAGCTACAGGACCAGACTATCTAGGTTTAGATTCTGGTGGCCGCTTATGAACTTGGGCAGGTTTAGTCAAGTTATTTTAACCTCTCTGTGGAGGTTCCTGCTTTGTGGAAGTATTTTCCTCAGGGTTGTTGTGAGGATTTTGTGAGTTAATACATATACGAAGTGGTTAGTTGCATATTAGAAGCACTCTCTAAATGTCAGCTATTGTTGTCATTGCATATCTGCCACACCCTTTGTAGACAGCAAACTTTTTTTTTTTTAACTTTTAGGTTCAGGGGTGCATGTACAGGTTTGTTTTATAGGTAAATTGCGTATTGGGGGGGTTGGTGTACAAATTATTTTGTCACCCAGATAATAAGTATAGTACTTGGCAGGTTTTTTTTTTTTTTTCTGATCCTCTCCCTCCTCCCACCCTCTACCCACAAGTAGGTCTGTTTTTCTCTTCTTTGTGTCCATGTGTTCTCAATGTTTAGCTCCCATTTATAAGGCAGAACTTGCGATATTTCGTTTTCTCTTTCGAATTAGTTCACTTAGGATAATGCTCTCCACCTCCATCCATGTTGCTACATAAGACATGATCTCTTTCTTTTTTATGGCTGCATAGTATACTGTGGTGTATATGTACCATATTTTCTTTATGCAGTCTGCTGGTAATGGGCAGTTAGGTTGATTCCATGTCTATACAATTGTGAATAGTGCTGCCATGAACATATATGTACATGTGTCTTTATGGTAGAACGATTTATATTCTTTTGGGTATAGACCCAATACTGGGATTAATGGGTCAAATGGTAATTCTGTTTTAAGTTCTTTGAGAAATCACTATACTGCTTTCCACAGTTACTGAACTAATTTACGTTCCCACTAGCATTGTATAAGCATTCCTTTTTCTCCACAACCTCACCAGCATCGATTATTTCTTGACTTTTTAAGAATAGCCATTCTGACTGGTATAAGATGGTATCTCATTGTAGTTTTGAATTTGCATTTCTCTACTGATGCTGGGTATTTTATATGCTTGTTGGCCATGTAGCTTCTTTTGGCTAGGGACCTATAAGTCTCCCTATGTTTCTTGCACTTACTAAGCCTTCAACAAACGGTAGAAGAAAGAGTCAATTCTCTTGACGTTTCAGAAGGAAACAGTATCACAGCATCTATTCATTGGATAATACTATAAATCTCAAAATAAATTTTCATTCAGAGTAATAAACACAAGCAAAAGAACTTTGTGTAACATCTGTCAACTTTTTGTGTCATCTACTTCTTTCAGAAACATTGCCTCTGGTTTTAAAGGTAACTGTCCACAGTGTTTCACTAATAACACTTTAAGCATTGCAAGTTCAACACTGAAGGTCAAATGACAGTGAACTTTCAGTGTTTCCAAAAGCAGGGGCAACTGCTGAGAGGGCCTTGTGGAATTTGATTTAAAATATGATATTGCATTGGCCAGCAATATCATGGTCACTCCCTACGTCATTCCCTGGGAGGAAAACAACCCTAGGTTGCCTAAACACTGTTGGCTAAGACCAAATATTTATTAACATCCTAAGCAGCTCCATAATCAAGCCAATGCTGATAGGGACAAAGAAGGTGCCAGGTGCAGGTTTTCTCCATGTCCCCACAATATTCGCTCTGAATTTTTAAAAAGGCAATTACTGGGGGAGAAGGAAGCCTATATATTAAGTAAGATCTAAGTCTCAAACTGCTTTCCTAGGGAGTGTGAAGTTCTTGGAGATTAAGTGCAGTACCTTTCTGTCTTGAACCCTGTGGGCTGCCTCTCTAATTTAATGCCAGTATTGAAATAAACAGAATGCTTTTCAGGTCATCGCTAATTTTAACACTTTGGCTTAGAATTGACTCAAGACTGTCTCCTTGCTGAGTGGATAATTCAGCTGGTTACTGCCCAAACAAGTAGGCAGCCAGAAAAAGTGAGTGCCCAGGGAAAGGCAGTAAGGGTCAGAAGAGAAAGAGGCAGATATTCTCACTGCCTCCTGCCTTCCTTATGACCGTCTGTTCAGGAGTCCCCCTAGAATCTCCCTTCTGCCTTCCCCTGCTCCCTTCCCTGAAACCTTTTCTTCAAAAGAATTGGAAAAGAGAAACTGGGAACCCATATAGCAAGAGCATCACCTGGAATGAATTCCTTTAGAACGTACTGTCTTGGAAATCCGAAGCCTGCAGGCTGGACAGGCAGGAAGAGCAGTGGGCACTGCATGAACCTGTAAGCAAATCTACACATGGTTGGTTTTTTGTTTTTTGGGTTTTTTTGAGACAGAGTCTCACTCTGTTGCCCAGACTGGAGTGCAGTGGCACCATCTCAGCTCACTGTGGCCTCCGCCTCCAGGGCTCAGGTGATTGTCCCACCTCAGACTCTCAAGTAGCTAGGACGACAGGCATGCACCAATATGCACAGCTAATTGTAGAGACAGGGTTTCACATGTTGGCCATGCTAGTCTCAAACTCCTAGGCTCAAGCAATCAGCCTGCCTCGGTCTCCCAAAATGCTGGGATTATAGGCATGAGCCACTGCACCTGGCCATACACGTTTATTTTACTCAGTCTTGCCCCTGAGTACCCAGAAGGTCCAAACTTAGGAATAAGTCAGGGGAGGGACAAGTTTATCATTCTTAGCACTGAAGCACAAAGTGCTTTGGGTGTGTGCTGGCACGAAGGGTAGGATATTATTTGGAAGCTGAGTTATGTGCTGAGCAAATATTTCTTTAAAAACCAAAGCTGTATGAGATCTGTTCTAGTGTCACAGTGTGGCTAAATAGTGTGCGATAAGATAAGTTAGGGCTCCTGAGATGGTACTGTCCTCCCATTGTAATGAGTTTACTCTTCTTTCTAAGGAAAGTGATTCTTGATCAACCTCTCCTCTCAAATTAACTGGCTTGTTTCCTGAGTGTGCCTTCATGGAACCGTGTCTCCTTCTCTTCCCTCAGTTCTCTTTCCCTCCCTTATGTATGACTCCTCCCCTAATCTGCACACACGGATTGAACCAAATGAGGGTATTTTTCTGCTTCCTCATAGAAGGGCATAGAGTGGACAGGGTCTAAGGTTAGTTCCTAAAGTGGCTACCCACATATGCAGAATTTTATTTAAAGCTGCTGAAATCTTTGTATAGCAGATAGATCAGTAAGACTGAAAACTACTGATGGTTTTACCTACTTGTCCAATGTGATTAAGTTCCATGGTACCATTTAGAAATTGTGCTGTATAGTTTTTGTACATTGCTTAAGAAGCAGTATAGCATAATGGTTAAATGCATGGCCTCTGGAACTAGATTTCCTCTGTATGCCTCAGTTTCCTCACCTGGGAATAATAATAGTTCTATTTCATCAGTTGCTATGAGGATTAAATGATTTAATTTAATGATTTCATACAAAACTCTGAATTGTAATTGACACTTAGTACTCAGCTATTCACTGGGACCATCATTACATTTACATTTTACAATCATTTAACATTTACAATTATTAATAAAGTTGTAAAACCATACAAGCACTTGCCTTTGGGATTTGTTTACAAGCACTTGCCTTTGGGATTTGTTTAGCTTTTTTTTATTAAATTATAAGCAGCATAGAACAATACATAGGCTTGGTCCTGGAATCAAATTCTAGCTTTGCCTCTTACTAGTTTTGAAACTTTGATTAAATTACTTGATGTGTCTGAGTTTTAATATTCTTAACTGTAAATTATTTTTAAAAAGAATTTTGCTTTGTGTTGATATGCACACATTTAACACAGTTATAGAAACTATTATTAGTACTATTGTCATAGATATGATGAAATTAGTCCCTGGGTTGCTGTAGGCTGGTAGTGGTTAGGCAAACTCTCTTTGAAGTCTATCTGATCTGGCCTCTTGCAGGCATGTACTCTGAAATATTTTTCAAATGGAAAAGAAAGCAGAGAACACAGTTTTCAAAATATCTAGAGCCCTCCAAGATGTCTGTAGTAATCTATAAAATCTCAAGACAATTTAAAGGTAAGACAACTTTATTAATAATTGTAAATGTTAAATGATTGTAAAATGTAAATGTTAACAATAGCCCTCTGTATAGCTATATTATCTTTTTCAGAAGAATAGAAAATGTTTTTGAAACACTATTCTCTCCACATCCTAGGGCAGCAGCCTTCTCTGAAGAAACGTAAAGAAGGAAATGGATTGCCTTAGCAAAAACCAAATGAAGACACTCCAAATAAAAGAAGAATGGGAAGGCTACAGACCTTGAAGTCAGAAGAAAATTTCCTCTTCTTAGCCTGTTTCTCCTTCAATGCGTCACCAGTACAGTCTCTTATTTCTAGGGCCATGTTCAGCTTTTTTCCCCTAAGTTGTAATGTCCTTCTTTTGGTTGGGTCATGTCCTAAAATCCTACTCTTTGGTACAAGATGAAGGTAGATGAAGAGATAATGAAGGAAACAAATTCAATGTGTTTGCTAAGAACACAGTCTTTTAAATCATTCTTAAAGGATTCTTTTAAAACAATGTAATAGATTGTCGTTATCTATTACACAAAGCTAGTAGGAACCTCGAAGTGTATTAAAAACATTTCAACATTCAGCAGTAGAGGGCAGCACTGCCCTTCATTTGCAAAATGTTGCGCACTCTTGAGAAGGAAAATAAAGGCAAAACTCCTGACCCCTGTGTCTGTGTATTTACTTTTACTGTATACTTTTAAAAATTGAGTATTTCTGTTATGGTTTAGGTGATTATGTAGAAAGAATGTCAGAGCCTGGATTGCCTGGAAGTGGTACACCAGGTAACTGGCAAAAAAACACGGAACGTTTGAGGTCCCCAACTCAGGATATGGGTTCTGTCTGGCAAAGATAAACAGTAGCTTGACCCTGGGTAATCAGATAGGGTTATTGTATGAACAGACTTAATGCTCCTGCACTTTCTGGATAGAAGTCAATCTACTGAAATAGCAGGATGTGGTTTTAAAAAATGTGTGTAACTCGTATAGTCTTAGCCCTCATAACTCCTTCTAAATTCTTATTCACTGCCTTTATTCTGCTGTGTTAGTGTTGCTCCCTGTTATACCTGGGTCAGGTCAGAACTATCTCAAATAGAGTATGTGTATTATGACTTTAAAGAGTGGTGTCAGACATGATGGGTAAGGAATGTCTTTCATGGGACTGCAGTTGACTAAACGGCTGTGTATAAATAGTGAAATTGAAGCTTGTCTGCTCATCCTCATTCTGTCACAGTATGATTCGAGTTTTCCTAACCAGTAAATAGCAAGAAAAAATGATCTGTTATTTTGTACTAAAAGTTACTTGATGCTTTTTATCAGGATGACAGAATAATTCTAATTTTAGCAAATACAAAACTATGTAATCCTAGCATATTTGAATTCTGTTTAACCCTGAAAACTTTTTTGGCAGCAAATCTTCAGTGCCAATTTAAATAAATCCCACTAGGAATAAGCACTGGAAGACACTGAGTCTAGTTCCCAGCTCTGCCATGTGAAGTTGGGCAAATTACAACCTCTGAGCTTTCATTTCTTCATCGCTAAATGGAGATAATACCTCCTAGATTTATTAAAAGGGTCAACTTAGAAAATACAAATTAAAATGATTTGAAAGCCATTTAAGTACCTAACAAATATTTCTATCACTGTAGCCCAAAGAGATTCCTGCCTAGAAGGCTTTATGTCTCTTCTCCTTATTTGGTATCATTCTATTGCCTGAGATTAATAACTTTGATGCATACTTAATATCTTCTCCCAACTTGGTTGCTAGTTAGTTCCTTGAGGACTGAAACCATCAGTTGCACTTCTTGGTATCATCCACAACAAGGTATCTGTACTCAAATATTTGATTAAAAACATAAACCACAAGACATAATTGATTCTTTTGTAAATTGTGATAAAAAACATGTATTTACCATCTTAACCATTTTTAAGTATACTGTATATTAGTGTTTACTATATGCACATTGTTGTGCAACACATCTCTAAAACTTTTCATCCAGAATTCTTTTTTTTTTGAGACAGAGTCTTGCTGTCACCCAGGCTGGAAGTGCCATGGTACCATCTTGACTCACTGCAACCCCTGCCTCCGAGTTTCAAGTGATTCTCCTGCCTCAGCCTCCCAAGTAGCTGGGATTACATGTTCCTGCCACCACACCTGGCAAATTTTTGTATTTTTGATAGAAATGGGGTTTCACCATGTTGGCCAGGGCTGGCCTCAAACTCCAGACCTCAAGTAATCTACCTGCCTCAGCATCCCAAAGTGCTGGGATTACAGGCATGAGCAGCTGCACCTGGCCTAGCCATTTTCTATAAGCCTGAAAATGGATGCCAGAAAAGAAGGTACCACTATAAAACGCTTTCATGAGTGATTTATGTCTAGCATACAATTAAACATTTTTTATTTTATTTTATTCTATTTTATTTTTTTTATAAGACAGGGTTTCATCATGTTGGTCAGGCTGGCCTTGAACTCCCGACCTCAGGTAATCCGCCCGCCTTGGCCTCCAAAGTGCTTGGATTACAGGCATAAGCCACCACACCCGGCCTAAACATTTATAAGAAGGAAATTATCAGGTTAAAATATAAACTCACTTGCCAATTATTTGATTTTCAGGATATCTGACTTTTGTTAATTATTGAAAATAAAGTATTATTTCTAATCACTATTGCTATCACAATAGCATTTTTATTTGGCAGGTATATGTGAGACCTGGAGTATAGAGGGAAACTGTCCCAGAAAAGGACCGTGCATTGGCTGTAGAGAGTTCTGGAACTCTCACAATGGCAAGACTGTATTTAACTTTTGATATGTGCTTTTAAAAACAATGCACCTTTTCAAGTACAGATTTTCATCTGATGTCATGATTGTCAATTATGTCAAATTTGTTTGGTATATTAAAAAATTGGTTTTCTCCTTTGCACAAAATAAATTCTAGATGATATAAGATTTAAATATTTTAAACAATATAGGGAAAATAATATTTTTTAAACGTAGTGTTAGGGTAGAATAGACTTTTATAATCATAGCACAATCTCAGAAGCTATTAAGAAAATAATTGACTGTGCATGGCTATACACACCATAAAGATGTGATAACATGGAAGAATATTTGCAACATGCTTATTAGTCACATCTATTATTTACTCAGAGTTTCATTGTATTGGTGGGAAAAAGAGGATATAAAGAAATCATTCAGAAAAGAATACAAATAACACCAATAAACATACCCCAAATCATCCTCATTATTAAATTGAAACCACATCAATTTATCAATGTTTACCCATCAGATTGACAAACATTTTTTAAATGTTGAAAAAATAGTGTTGAGGGGAAAGAGCACTGATATGCACTATTGCATGGGAGACTGTCAATCAATAAAGCCTTTTCTTAGAGTGTATTTTGGTAATAAGTCAAAATTAAAATGTACATGCCACTTGACCAAGCAATTTCTCCTCTAGGAATCTACCTAAAGAAATTTATGCAAGTTTTTAAAGATAGGTATGGAGGCATGCAGTTATGCATTGTAACTTTGCTTTAATAGAAAAAGAGTAAACATGTATTATTTTTGTAACCTAAAAAATCAAGTTTTTAGTGGGGAAAAAAAATAGGTTTGAAGCAGGACAGTGGTCATGGAAGTTGGAATCCACTAAGGCATGTATAACAACACACCTGCTGATCAATAAAAACAAATAAAACTTTTAAAAAACAGGCTTGAGAAACACTTCACAGGAATAGAAAATTAATATAGTTTCTAACAATGATAATGAAGTAGAACAAACAGGAAAAAGTAATTCTCCAAAGGACTATGTATGTATGTATGTAGTAACTTAAAACTTCAGATACTATGAGAAAGTATTTTTAAATAAAGAACAGTGTGGTGTGCTACAGTTTAGAGTTGGTCTGAAATCCGGGGAGCTATTGACGCTCCTTAGATAATAAAATAGTGATTTTTAAAAATATGAATCCCCATTATCCGTAGCAAACAAACACAGGAACAGAAAACCAAATACCGCATGTTCTCATAAGTGGGGGCTGAATGATGAGAACACATGGATACATGGAGGGGAAACAACACACACTGGGGCCTGTCAGGGTGGAAGTAGGAGAGAGAGGGCATCAGGAAGAATAGCTAATGGATGCTTGGCTGAATACTTAGGTGATGGGATGATCTATGCAGCAAACCACCATGGCACACATTTACCTATGTAACAAATGTGCACATCCTGCACACGTACTCCTGAACTTAAGAGTTGAAGAAAAAAAATGAATCCCACAATTCTGTATCCAAGGACCTAGAACCGCTCCTGACATCCAAGAGATAATACATATTGGCTGAAGGAATGAATGAGGATATTTGCACCTGAGTTATTATAAGAATAGATGCAAAATTGCCTAATGATTATTACTTGGTCTGCAACAAGTGTTTAACAGATACTAGTTCACTACTTACACGTGCCTAACACATCGCGAGGGTTTATTTAAAAGAATTTACCTAGTGCTTATTATACGCTGGGTACTGTTCTAAGTTCTTTACAAACACTAACTCATTCAAGTTGTTTAACTGAAGTAAGTGGTATAATTATTCCATTTAACAGATGAGGCAATTGAGGCAAAGAGCAATTAAGCAATTTGCCCAAGATGCCACAGCTAGACAACAGTGGAGATATGAACAGAGTCTGGCTCCAGAGTTCATTCTCTATGGTGCCATATTGCATCCCACATGGTAAAAACTTACTGAATGTAAGAATGAATAATTTGTTATTTTTTTTCAAATTATGCTTTTACCCCAGGGAGCTCAGAATATTTTATATCAAACCATGCCAAAAAATCATTCCCACAACTTCTCTTTGAGGTAGAGCATATTTCTAAAATCATGTTTTAGGGTATTATTGGTTTACCAGTTGTGTTTAAAAAGAACATGGGAGGTCATTGTTCCTATGATAAAAATCACCGTATTTGCTTTTTGATATCATATTAATTTCCATGACAACAGTTCCAGGTTCCAAACACAGAAACATCCTGCTTTAGAAATGGAAGAGGCATAGGACCTACAGAGAATTAAGAAACAATGCCAAAATTATTTAAAGGGGTAAGGTTGTGTGTGTGTGTTTCAATCTTTTGCGTAACTAAAGCAATACATCTTCAACTTTTTCAATCAGGAAACTTTTTTTTCTGTATCTAAGCTTTGTAGGCTTTTTTTGTTGTTTTTGTTTGTTTGTTTGTTTGTTTAAATGGAGTCTGTTGCCAGGCTGGAGTGCAGTGGCGTGATCATAGCTCATCACAGCCTCAAATTCCTAGGCAAAAGCAATCCTTCCACTTCATCCTCCCAAGTAGCTGGAATTACAAGCACAACCCACCCTGCTGGCTAGCTTTTGTTTTAACTTTAGTTTAACTCTATTCCATAACAATAGCAGTGTTTCTTTCTTCATGATTCATTCATTCATTCATTTATTCATTCATTCCATAAATATTTATTGACCATCTACTATGGACCAGCATTGCACTAGGTGCTAAGAATAACACGAACAAAAAGACAAAATCCCTTTCCTCACGGATTGTAACCTAATGGGGAAAACAGATAAGAGTATTGCACTGGCCGGGCGCGGTGGCTCACGCCTGTAATCCCAGCACTTTGGGAGGCTGAGGCGGGTGGATCACGAGGTCA